TTAAAGGTTCCGAATACCTAGAAAAATTCAAACCTTTTTTATATCCATGCCTTTTCTTAATACTCATTTTTGACATTGTTTTGCAATTTTTCCAGGGAACAGCAATCTTATTTACACATTGATCCGTAAACGGCAAGTCTTCTACCATCTGGCCAATTTAGCTACTGATGAGGTGAGTCTCCACGAGGTCACCAGTGTTCGCCGATTGCCTTCATCTGGTGATCCGGTTCATCACAGCGCCTTATCAAAACAGCTTTCTGTTAATAGTCGAGGCTACGGACACTGTCGCGACAAGAACAACGAAAATCACCGAGTGTCGACCGCCATAACCAGTCCCAACTCTTATGAGTTCGATTCAAACCCAGAGCAGAATAATCACTTATCAACTATTGCTTCTAATGCCGTGACAAGTTCTACATCATCTCCTGGAGATCATGACCACAATTTTGACTCCATTGGAGATGGTATTGAATCTGGTTCAACGCCCCACAGCAGAGCTTATTTCGCAAGCAAACAAAAAGGAATACCTAAGGCCGATTTAGATTCAAAGGATAGCTGTCTTGATCAAATTAAACTGGAAGTCATATCGAGAAATACTACCAGGATGATGCCAGAAGAGAATTGTCCTGATGAGCAAATGATGCCGGTTACTATATTTTCCCGTTTATATTCGCCTATATCTAACAGTCAATTACATATTTTTAATAAGTTTTTAATCTAATTAAATAAATTGGATTAGAGGCGGTAATACTCTCAAATACTTCGGTAATGATAGAAGAATGTGATGGGTGGCGGGAAACTTTAGATAGAAAGCCACTGTGATAAAAAAAATTTACCAGAATCCAATATAATATGAGCTTGGTGTAAAGGAAATAGTCTAAAAGAGTGTTAATTATGAATAATTAAATTGTAGATATGAAGACCATTTTGTTTGGTCGCAGTCTCCTTTTTCTTTATATAGTTTTTCGACCCTGTTTTCGCAACTTGGTCGGAGCATCAGAGAGACCTTGTGGGACCTACCTATTCCTGTGTCCTCCACAATAGTATTCGTGATTTCCAGCATCGGACTATTGACTTGGTACATTCCTAAACGTTCTGCCTGCATCGCCAAAGAATACCAGCGACTATGCGTAAAAATAAGCACGGAAAGATCAGAAATAGCTGAACACAACGCCCTTACCGGTCACACAATTGGCTGGATTGCAACGGAAAGACTGGCTTCATATGGGAAGAATGTCAGAAAACTGAAGATCAAGGAGACTAAGGACATCCTCTTTCAAAGAAAACTGATGAATCGGAGATTAGAAGACGGAAAAGTCAGCGATAATTTTGCGTATTTCTTAGACAGACTTGGAGGTTCAGCGTAGATATAAAAAAGAAGACGCTTAGACCCAGGAAAACTACTCGATAACGGAAAGGGACATCGCCAAAGTCGTAAAATGGAAGTCAAGAAAAGCCAATTGTGGTTAGATGAGTCAAACATGGGTTCGGCCAAAAATTTACCCTTGAAGGGTCCAAATGTGGGATGTTTTATAGGAAATTAAAAGCTAAAGGTATAGGTGGGCTAGATATAGGTCACCAGTGTGTACGTCTGTGTGTATTTTTCGTGTGTCTTCCTCGATAAGAGGTGACTGGTGACGTGCTTGACCAAGGGGGATACCTACCCAAAATACAAATGAGCAACATCCTATTACCCAAGGATCAGATGGTAGTATCAACTTGAGGAACGAGAGTATTGGGCATTTCGCGATAAAGGAGAGGAAAAAGGGAAGCACTGGATTTCACACCAAAGGTTATGAATTAAGCCGGACACGGCCTAAAAAGAATAAGATATAATGTGGGTGGGGATGAGAAAGAGGATAACCGAGTCATGGGTTTGAAGAGTGTGTAGATTAAGATTGCCAGTCATTCGCATGGACATCACCTGTTCTAAATCCTCGAATATGGCGTAATCGAGGAGGGGAATTGAAATATATTAGACAGCCAGATTTCAGACAGTCAGACAGTGATTTTTCGTTCATAAGAAGGGTTTCAACAGTGATTTTAGTGTTGAGCAGAGACCACTTGACAAGCTGAGTAGAGGAATGTGGCTGGAGTAAGGCCTTGCAAACGGCACCTGGAATCGATGTTGGATATGATTACTCTTCACTATACCCAGTTACGGCGACACACTCTTAGATGACATTGCAGGAAATAAGATCACAGCGTTATGTGAATAGGTAGATGGGTTCGGAGAAAACGATGCAGCGCTAGAAAGTAGAACGAAAAATATGGGCGAACAGTGGTCTCACAACGGTTGAACAGAAAATCGGCCTTTACTCCTCAATTTAATAAGTTGTAACTCTGTATTGACGTTACAGTCGAAACGTTTGGGAGTTTACCAAGTCAATATTCAAATGTATTAAAACACGAATTCTATGGTAGAGCACACAGAACTATGGAGTTAAGAATGGTTATACTTACTGACGATGCCGGCGAAACGTTTGGGAATGTAT